AATAAATCAAAATTCTAATGGTATGCTGTTCCAATAAATACAAGTCCCACTTATATAAACCAAAATAATAATTAAAAAAATTAAAAGTTTGTCTCTCGAAATTACAGCCAGGATATGACTTCCAGAATGTTCTGTCCCTTCTCCATTGATCTTCAGTTAGGAATGCCATTCTCCATTGAATTCTTGTGTCAGGAATATTAACTAAGAGTGCTGCTGTACCTTTAGTTACATGATGGTTGCCCTGAGAGCTGAGAGAATTCTGTGACAGCCAGTGATTTTCTCTTTAGAGCTGATGGTTGTTAACTCTATCAGATGGCAGTTGCTCTCACACCAATTTTCAAATACCCTCTTCTTTTAAACACTTGATGACCAATCAATTTCTTACCATAGGATTGGTCCTAAGTTATCAAAACCATCAGATTTAAACTTAATTGTTTTTTGGCCTGTAAGTGCCTGGTTTAAATTAATTGGCTGATTCAAATTGGTTGCTTTAATAACAAAACACGACTACTGCCTGGATTGCTAATCATATAGCCTTTTGATACAAATATTTCAATTTCAGGAACTCTGTGCCTGCTGCTCGCAGATACTTTTTAAAAATCTCCAAGCCTTGAAAAAGCACATAATCTTTTAAAGGGACCAGGCACTCTTCCCCCTTATCATTTTACAAACAAATTCTAATGTCCTGCCTTTGAATCCACAAGTACCCTACCTAACTTCGCAACAGTACGAAATGCCTTCTTCACTAACTTTTCTACCTGCCACTCCACTTTCAAGGAACTATGAACCTGCACTCCAAGGTCTCTCTGTTTGACAAGACTACCAGGACCTCATTATTAAGTGTATAAGTGCTGCCCTGATTTGCCTCACCAAAATGCAGCGCTTCACATTTATCTAAATTGAATTCCATCTGCCACTTCTCGGCCCATCGCCCATCTGATCAAGGTCCCACTGTACTCGGAGATAACCCTTCTTGGCTGCCCACTACGCCACCAATTTTGGCGTCATCTTCAAACTTACTAACCACATCTCCTATGTTCACATCCAAATCATTTAGATAAATGACAGTCTTTAATTGCACAATGTGTATTGCTAGCAGTTAGAACCATGTCTTTCCAGGTAAAAAGTGTTGCTTTTCCCTGAATTTCCGGTTCAGACTGTTCGGATTATGTCTTCCTTTGCTCTTCAGTTACATCACAGACTAATTTACAATCACCGTTTACTCCACTTGAGTGAATAAATCATTTCGGTTGGCTTTTTCAAGCCAGTTTTAGAAAAATATACTTACTATCCAATTAGTAAAAAGCCGAACATTTGGTTTTGAGAGAATGTTAGTACTGCAGCAGGAATAGATGAATTAACATCAACTGAATGATGTCATCACCTATGTTTTGGCTAAACATGAAAAGAAAAGTTAGCTCTCAATTACTGATATGTGCTCCATAATAAATATACAAATGACATTGTATCTTTTCTTTATGTGGGAGGGAAGATTGGTGCAGGAATGTTTAACTTACAGAGCCAGATTTTTATTCAAGTCCACTTAATTACTTTTGATGAGCTGTTCCCATTCGTAAATAATTGAAGGACTAGAGGATGCAGATTTAAAGTTTCTGGCAAGAGATTCAGGGACTTGGAGGAGGATGGAGGTAAGTGAAGAAGAAGCTTCGAACTGCAATGACAGACAACTTCCTGTCTATGAAGGTAGTGGAAGCAGACTTTGTAAATGATTTTGAAAGGAAATTGCATGGCCAGTTGAAGGGAAATAAACTTATAAGGCCAGGAGGATAAGACAGGTGGATGGAACTGACAGGATTGCTCTCCAGAGAGTTGGCATGCAGTTGATGGGCTGAACGGCCTCCGCCATACCATATATGAGTCGTTACCTATGAGTAAAGAGCAGGGCAGTATCATTTATCAGATCTCTCTCCTACAGAGTCAGCACAAGATGGGATGAGTGGCATGGTTCTCTGCATTATTCTCTGATTCTATCATTCGAATCCCAATCATCAAACTGGGGAGACGTTCTACTCCATTGAACTTAGATATTCACTGCACAAGGAACATTACAAATGATTGAAAAGACAGGGGGAAGGGAAAGGGAAAGACCGGTTGATTGAACAGACCCATCCCATCACTTTGGACTCGAGTTGTCACTTTAATACTGGAAAGCCAACTAATGGTGCTGAACACAAGGAAACCAGAGACCAAGTGTGCTCCAGAAGTGAACTGTAGGAATAATTGAAGCAGAGCAGTCAGTGTTTAATGCAATATATAAGTGAGTAAATAGCTTGTCAGTATTATCTTACCTCTTGTTTCCCACGTCCTTATGTATGAATGTGAATCGTACAATGGCAAATTAAACATTTACCTCCTTTAAACTAATCTATCTGTTTAAGAGTTGCGCAAATCTAACAAAGTACATATGCCTTTATAAAGTGGGGTGGGTCCAAATTGCAGTCGAACAACGCTGGACATATTTAAATTGCATTTTTTTCTCCATCCCATCTATCATTTTAAGTTATCTGGGATTAAGAAAATTGTGCTAATAAACAAGGAACCTTAGATTTAAGCATGTATGGCTGTAAAAAAGTTAAAGTTACAACAACAAAAGTGATAACGTGATAACATGATATGCTTCACGAGAACAGAATGAAACAAAATTAATACCAAAGCACACAAAGCCACATAAAGACAGGTGGCCAAAACTTGGTCAAAGAGATTGAATTTAAGGATCATCTTAAGGAGGTCATAAAGATATGGGGAGACAGTACCCAAGTTCACCAACGTTTCATAATCTAATCATAGTTATACATTTTTCACATGTATCTTGTAGACTATTAACTACACACGTCCATGTCTGCACAAGATTTGTTTCCGTTCATCTCTGCCAAATTTAACATGTCAAAAATGAGGATCAGGTTCCCAAGATAGTGTCACTAATTATGCAGAAAAATGCAGTGGCGTTGTTTCACAGTTAATAACCCCAATTTTACATAAACCTTCTCAGTTAATTATGCCATGCATTCTCTTCATTCCCCTTCCCCCTTTGACTGCTGATAAATTCCATACCATCCTTTATCTCTGTTACTGGATACTGAGCTCTTTTAAAAAAAACTGTTGCATTTATGTAATGGTTTCCACAAAGACTGGATGTCTCAAAGTGCTTCACTGCCAATGAACTATTTTTGTACTTTTGAATTGTAGTCCCTGTAGTAATGAAGGAAATGAAACAGTCAATTTGCAGACAGCAGTCAGCAATAGATCAGGTAATCTGTTTTATGATGTTGGTTGAAAGCTAAACGTTGGCCAGAACTCCAGGGTAAATTCCTATTCTTCTTCAACATACAGCCATTGGAACTTTTATATTCATTCAAGTGTGTGTGTGTGTGTCTGTGTGTGTGTGTGGCTATCATTATGAAACATCCAGAGCAGCGCATGACCTCAGTGGTTAGCACTGCTGCTTCACAGTACCAGGGACCTGGGTTCAATTCCACACTTGGGTGAACATTCTCCCTGTATCTGGGTGGGTTTCCTCTGGGTGCTCTGGTTTCCTCGCACAATCCATAGATGGCTAGGCTAGGTTAGGTGGATTGGCTGTGCTAAATTGCTTACACTGTCCAGGGGTGTATAGGCTAGGTGGGTTAGCCATGGGAAATGTAGAGTTATGGGGATGTGGTGGATTTGGTGGGATGCTGTTTGGAGATCAGTGTGGACTTGATGGGCCAAATGACCTGTTACCACACTGTAGGGAATCCACATTTGTACACTGGCCTATCTGCAGCTGATGTGATGAAATGATAAATCCAAAACCAACAATTTGTATTTGCCCGGCACCTTTAATGTAGGTAAAAATACCCTAAAAATCTTCCCAGAAAGGCAATCAGATCAAAATTAACATCAGGGCCATTCCAAGACATGACCAAAGCTTGGTGAAAGACACAAGTTGTGAGAAGATTTTGAAAGGAGGAGGGAGATAGAGGTTTGGAGAATAAATTCCAGAACTCTGTGGCGAGAGACTTGAGTAGCAGCAAAAGGAAAGGAAATGGAAAATATGCAAGAGCACAGGGTGGGGCAAAAGCAAAAATCTCAAAGCATTAACGAAATAAGGAGGGACAAGCCCAAGAAAGGATTTGAAAACAAGAATGATGATTTTAAAATCGAAGCCTTCCTTGCTAGTATGGAAGAAGATGTAAGTTAGTAAGCACAGAAGCTAAGGGAGAAGAGGACTTAGTGAGATAGAGGAGACAGACAGCAAACATTTGGAGCAGCTCAAGTTGATGGAACTATTGACACATTTATTTGTGACAAATCTGCCACAGAGATTTTAGCTTCGTCAGTGCAAACATTTGTAGTGGAATGGTCACATCCCCTTCTCTGACCTGGAAGCTTCAGGTCCCACTCCTGGACTTAATTTTTCGGAAGGTGCATGCACAACGTGATCGAACAGGTTGGGTATAAAATCCCTCAGCACTGCAAGCTGTTCCAATGCATGCCAATGGCAGGTGGTAAGAATAGGAGAAATTCCTAATCGGGTATGAGATTGAAAATATCGATGCCTCCACCATCACTATTCTGTGACATGCCTGTAAAAGTGTACATTTCCACAGCAACTAGGGGTAGGTGGGAGATGGTAATTAACTGGATAGCTGGTGTGGACCAGGTTGGAGCCAAGATCATGGGGTTTCAGCAGGACTGGGGCCATCTCCTTGCCTTACCCAAGGTAGAGATTGTAGTGTTATGGATTGACCTGCCTTTGTTCAGAGATCTAAAAAAAGATTGTGAATCCTTTTGAATGATTGTAAAATTTCAATGTAAATGTGCCAGAAGGAAATAATTATTAAGTAATTTATACATCTTGCTAATAAAGCCTATTCAGTGAATACAGGAATTGTGCTTGTGGTATACAGATTTGCAAGATACATATGAATGATAGTCAACATGATTTACTCTTTCTCAATCATTTATTTATTTTGAATCTATTTCTCTTTGTTTCCTAGCTGTTTGAGATTACAGTGCCGATTTCCCAGGGACCAAAACCCATAACTATCAGTGTTGCAAACCACACAGGCTGCAGATGTATGTCAAAACTCGATTTCTTCAGACAGGTTCACTCCATCATCAGACGTTCCATATCTACATCCCAATCAGAGTAAGTTCAACGGTGGTTATTAACTTCACTGAGGCTATATTTTCCATGTACTGCCTTGCTATAAAAACAGAAATGCAGCAGATCTGGCACTATCTCTGTGGAGAGATAAACAGAGTTAATGTCTCAGGTCCAATTTTTTGACTCATAACTAATTCTGATTTTCATCTCACAGATGTTGCCAGACTTGCTAAGTTTCTCCACTATTTTCTGGTCTTATTTCAGATCTCCATCATCCACCATATTTTTCTTTTGTTTTTATAGCTCCCTTGCTCATGGCTTACACATGTCAGGAATTTGTCGGCACATTGCTCACAGTTTTTCAACATGCGTTATTAATGGGCGCTCTGGGATTTGGATGTTAGACTGTTATATTTAAGCCTTGGGTAAATCGAATCCATTTTTCAACACGTCGTACTAAAAGAGCACAGTGATCAACAATGAGAGGTTCATAGTAATTGTGGAATCAGTATCAATGTAATTTAGAAGACTTGATTCTAGGAAGTGACTGTCCTATCGCAACACCTGGAGGTGTGACCTCAAAAGCACCGCAGCTTATTGTATCTCATTTTCAGAATGCCATGTTCATTGGACAAAAAAAATCGTAGTTAGAGCAAATGACCACCAATCTGACAGGTTGCCAATTATCCAGTTGACCAATGATACAAATAAAACAAATAAAACAAAAAAAAACCTAGAATAAACCAAACTATCAATTCCCTCAGTTGATTTTTAAAAGTTGCCATTCATTAATCACTCTGTTTTTGTTCCTCATAGTTCTACAATGTAAACATCTTTCATGAATACATTGTATCACTCACCCAATTCTTATCCGATTTATACTCAGGTATAACCCTGAACTACAAAGGGCTATAGGCAATTTTTAAAACAATATTGAATCTGCCATATACTGCTGCTGTGGTACTGCAATATCAGGGCACTCAATAACAGGATATTACATGTATATGGGGAGGTGATGGCCTAGTGGTATTATCACTGGACTGTTAATCCAGGAAACCCAGATACTGTTCTGGGGATCTGGGTTCAATCCTGCCTTGGCAGATGGTGGAATTTGAGTTCAATAAATGTCTGGAATTAAGAGTCTAATGATGACCATGAATCCATTGCCCATTGTCAGGAAAAACCCATCTTGTTCATTAATGTCCTTCAGGGGAGGAATCTGCCACCCTTACCTGGTCTGGCCTACATGTGACTCCAGACCCACAGCAGAGTGGTTGACTCATAACTGTTAGGGACGGGCAATAAATGCTGATGTAGCCAGCAACGCCCTCATCCTGTGAATGAATTTAAAAAGTCATCCACAGGCAGAACAATAATTATTTTACAGTGTAAATGAGTGAGAAACAACAAATAGAAGTTTCTTGTGTCTAAAATAAGAAACAAATAAAAATTTTTAAATGTATTTTTATCTAAAACAATGTCTCTCCAATACCATTTTTGTACTCTCCAACAATGTAAAACTGTAATTAGTTCATTCTGCAGTTGTTTCCTTCACGTGACAGTGAAGCCATAAAAAAGACTCTTCGATACCTCTGAAACTGTTGATCGTTATTTGTGACAGACAAATATCTTGATTGATGGTTACAAACATTCGCAGCAGCTAATTTGTAGATTTTACGAATGTGCTTTCTGTTTACTTATCCAAAGCTTTGACACAGATTGCTGTAATGTGAAATGAAACCAAATATCTAATGAATCCTCTCTTCGTCAAGAGAGTTAGTTCCAAACTAACATTGTGCTTGTTGTAGTGAAGCAACAAAGAGAGAACCAGAAAAATGAGGAGGGATGGGATGCAATATTGCTGTGGGACATTGGCAAATTAATTTGTAACACTTCCCAACAAACTTTGATTTTCTACAATCTTAAACTTTGCAGTTATTGTTCACTAGATAAAGCTTTGTTAACAGAATGAAAAATGAATTTCACACATCCATGTGCTAACAGCACAGAAAATAATTTGCACGGAAATTATAATGTGGAAACAGTTTATTTATCCAAATAATTCTGTGCTGGTGGTTTATCCTATGCGTGGGCAGTAATACTAATGCTATGGATTAACACTGTTGTTACCTCCCTTTATTCTTTTCCCCTTTAACCAGCTGTCCATCCTGCACTTGAATACTGCCTTCTGGTAGTACACCATAATGCAAAGTCATAAGTCTATAAAATGTAGGAGCAGAAATAGGCCATTCTCCCCATTCAGTCTGCTTTGACATTCTGTGAGATTGTTGCTGATCTGATAATCCTCAATTCCACTTTCCTACCTTTTCCCTACAACCCTTGATTCCCTTACTGATTAAAAATCTGTGTCTCTTCATCTTGAATATACTTAATGACCCAGCTTCTAGAGCCTCTGTGGTTTGGAATTCCATGCTAAGAGAAAAGAAATCTCTCCTCATATATGTCTTAAATGGGTTGTGTGAAAATGAATCTCCTAACTCTGTCCCAAAACTCTTACATATAATTTAATATCCAGATTCATTTCTTCTAAACTCTTCAACAGCTGAGAAACTGTTTCTGTTTATTCAGTCCGATCCCTTTATAATACTTGACGAAATTGTCATATAAACATCCCTATTCCAACAATAAAGGTATTGAGACAAAAAGGTGCAGGGCTGGATGAACACAGCAGGCCAAGCATTCTGCTCCTATGATGCTGCTTGACCTGCTGTGTTCATCCAGCCCTGCACCTTGTTGTCTCGGATTCTCCAGCATCTGCAGTTCCTACTATCTCTGATTCAATAAAGGTATTGAGTTTACTTCATATTTCTATTTTCTTTATTCTTCTTCTCCACAGGAGGTGGGCATCTTTGGTTAGGCCAGCATTCATTCCTCATCCTTAATTGACCTTGAGAACGTGGTGGTGAGCTGCCTCCTTAAACTGCTGCAGTCCTTATTGTGTAGGAACACCTATAGTGCAGCCATAGTAACACAGAAGGAACAGTAATAAATTTCCAAATCAGAATGATGTGTGATTTGAAGGGTTATTGACAGATGGTAGAATTTCCTGAGTCTGTTGCTCATGCCCATCTAGGCAGTAAAACAGGTTTGTTACAGTGCATCTTACAGATGATGCATACCAGCCTGGTTCAGTTCTGCTCTGGTGCACACGATGTTTGTAGTGGAGTATTCAGTGATTGTAGTGCCGTTGTATATCAAGAGAGGTGACTATAATCTCTTGGTGGAGATGGCCATTGTCCAACATTTATGTGGCATAAATGTTACTTGCCACTCATCACCTCAAGCCTGAATGTGGTCCAGGTCTTCCTGCATCTTGACACAGAGTGTTTCATTATCTGGGGAGCCGTGAATGATGCTGAATGTTGTTTAATGATCACTGAACTTCCCAACCTCTGGCCTTACAACGGAGGGAAGCTCATTGATGAGGCAGCTGAGGATAGCTGGGCCCTGAGACATTCCCCTGAGGAACTCCTGCAGATAATCTTGGATTTGAATGGCCCACAACAACAACAGCCATCTTCTGTTGTTCCAGCCATGACTGAAACCAGTACTGCCTTAGCAGGACTCCAGCCAGTCGGATGGCAGCAGCTCTGTAGCCAGATGGATGAGGGGCAGATTGTTTAGGTGGCAGGAAGGCCACTCGTTGGAATTCCCATGACTCCTCACTTCCAAATGTGCCGGCCAGGGAATCATCAGAAATAATCCTGGATGTATTTCCCATGGATTTCAGGGTATTCCGCACTCCTTACAGAAGGCAAGAGGGCACCTAGCAGGTAGCATTTATACTCCATACCCACCTAACCCTGACCTGTCTAAAGTTAAAGGACTGCAGGGGGCGGCTCACCCTGCCTTGAGTGTATTGAGGCCTTTTGGACAAGTGCTGCTCACTCCATGCTGCAAGCCTGGCAACTTTCTTTGTGCAGGCTGGCGTTGGGCAAAATGATGAGAGATGGGGAGCTTCCCTTAGGGGCACCAGGACCTAAAAGAGGCACTTCCTCCCGAGGCCATACCACCATTGAACTCTTCCCCCACCCTGGCCTTTTGAATCCAGCCCATTTCCTCACCACGCCGCCACACCCAGGCCGCCCGAATCCCAGACTTTCCTGGCATCCTTGGTATGATGGAAATGTTTGCCTGGCAATCACCCCCAGAGACCCTGCTGCCATTACAAAGTTTGATTGGCTGGCAGCCCTCAGACAGGTGAGGTGGAGGGGAGGGGTGGGTTGCATTTCCTCCTGAGAAAGGGATGGGAGTCTCACTGCAAAGGAATCAGTGCTGCCCCCCAGAGGTAAATTGGTGTGGAGCAGTTGTTACTGGAGTCAGCAGACTTGCCCTGCACCAGCCTTATCCAGGGTTTTATTGAGGAGCTGAGGGGTCTATAGCGCCTGTAATCCATCCCCTGGAGTACACAATTCTGCTGAAACAAAAGTATCAGAATTATGGCAGTGATTAACCTAAAGTTGAGACATCGTAATTTTAAATACTTAGGGAGCACTGCAAGTATTGTCAGCACCCCTCTGTTTCTTCATGTATGATGTGGAGATACCGGTGTTGGACTCGGGTGGAAAGCTCCTGTTTTCTGCAGGATATTTATTTGGCATCCTGCAGAGTTACTGGCAGGTCCGACTTCATCCAATAAATGTGATGTTAACAGAGCAAATGTAAAGCTCAACATTAAAAAACAATACTGCGTGCCAGAGAACCGGAGCAAGTTTGAGTAGCTCATTACAGGGCATCATGCTCTGTGAATAGCTTAAGGAATTTTGCAGTAAGGGCCATAGCAAATGACCTTCATTGCTGCTGCAAATTTAAACACCTCTTGGGTTTCTTATCCATGTGGTTGCCAACGTTGAAATATACTTTTCAGTCAAAACTTTAAAACTTTTGTTTTAATATTTATTTGTTCCTGGGATGTAGTCATTGCTGGCAATGTCTGTGTTTGTTGGCCATCTCTGACATACCCTGAATTGAATGATTTCCAAAGCCACTTGGTTAGTGGTGATGTAATGGTAGTGTCATTG